TGTGCTCAACATAAAAGATCGACAGGATCACCTGCCCCGATTCTACAATATCCTACACCGGACCGTCCGTTTGACACAGTCGCTGTTGACTTGTTACAACTCCCAATGAGTCATCAGGGATCAGGATACGTCTTAGTTTGTGTGGATCATTTTTCCAGGTTCGTGGTCTTGGTCCCACTAAAAAGCAAAACGGCCGAAGCAGTAGCCTATGCATTAGTGATGAATCTCATATGTCCATATACTACGCCTAAAGTTCTACTCTCTGATAATGGAACAGAGTTCAAGAATGAGCTAATAGAGCATATATGTTTACAATATGGAATTAAACAAACTTTGTGACAGCTTATCATCCACAGGCTAATGGCCTTGTTGAAAGAACCAATCGTAAAATCCTAGAAATACTGCGTCCAATTGTTAGTGGTTTTCAATACGCATGGGAGGATTGGTTACCGCAGGTTGCAGCGTCGATTAATGGGTCAGTTAATAGCTCTACGGGCAAAACACCCTACTATATTGTCTATGGCACAGATAAACGTCTGCCTTACGACATCCTTACAGAGGCGCCATACCCGGTATATAATATGGATGATTTTGCGGCAAAACAAATTCATGTCTTTACAGAAATTCTAACCAAGTACGATCACAGCTAGCGGCGTCACGCGCCGAAATGATCATCAAACAACATAAACATGCTAAACCTATCGCACTGAACGTTGGGGACGCTGTTATGTTACAGGAACCTGAAAGGAACTCCAAACTTTCGGCGAAATTTTCTGGTCCATTCCGCATAATCTCAAAAGAAGCAGGCAACAAATTCAAAATATGGAAGCCTAATGCACAGATCGCAGATGTCGTGCACGCGGATCAGATAAATGTCTTACCTCCAGTTGATGATAATGTGATTGATACATCCTTACAGACTGTTCAGAAGCAAAATGTCCCAAATGACTATTGTATGAAACTACATTCTGCGAGTAGAAGTTAACTCGTACTTTCGCGTCAGATGGAAAACGTCGACGGCCAACTACAATCAGCATTGGACATTCTTCATGGTCTCAGCACAGCTTCGATGAATTCGACAATAGTTTCATGGACGTTGTCGTTCAAGCTGTATCTCAACAGAATCGTGTTATTTCTCAAACCTTTCACGCGATTACTGCTCTAGAATCAAAGGTTAATGCAATCATAATGGAGTCTAACCAAGTTTCGAGGATTGTTACTAGGTTACAGAAAGCAATCCCGACGTTAGAATGGTTCCTTTACTTCACAGAATATTTGCATGCTGCTGAAATTTCAGTTCATAAAATTGTAACCTCTAAAAATGAATAATAGACAGCATTGTAGATGCCGGGATAGGACGTGTGGACGCGAAGCTTGTGCCTGTGCAGACGCTTCTTGAAGCTTTAAAAATAGCCAAGTTGCAGTCTCATTTAACTCCGATTTTCAGTGACAATGAGATTCAATATCATTACCCACTGTTGGAGTCAACCCTCACGCACAATGCAATTCTGATCCACATTCCTATGCGAGGGCAACATGAGTTTAATGCATGGCATTTAGAACCCTTCCCCTGGTTTGTGAACGACACACTGTATACCCTAGATAGGCCTAAAGAACTTTTCTTAGTAGATGAAGAATATTCATTGTTATCAATAGAGGATTCTGAGGTACTGTCACGGTGTAAGTCGTCTTATCTACACCTACACGTATGTCCAGCCTACAGTACATGTTTGCATTTATTCCTGCTGCAGAGGGAATATGTGAATTGGCAGTCATACAACCAAATGTACGCACAGCGTTAGCGCAATGCAGTTATAGGCCAGTTAGTCTAAAGACTGTGTTCCACGCTCACCTTCACAATGTGCAGTATTTGTTCTTTCCAAATCTCACTACTGTAATTTTAAAATGCCAAAATGGTGTTAAGCAGCTAGTTGTGAAAGGGCCTTACAAGGCTCCTGATTACTGTGAAATCACTTGTAGTACATTACGGACCTTGCCTACTCATCAGCATTTTGCGTTAAATCGAAAACTCAAGTCTGCTTTAATTCCACTTCCTATAATGAATTTCACTATCAAGGATATTCAAATAGTATCAGAGAAATTAAAAGTGTTAGCTTTCTTGAACGAGACACATTTTGCTGATTTGAATAATAACTTGCCATTTAACCTGTCACGGGAATTTGCACTACCAAGTCTTACGATTCCCTCTATTCTGTTAATTCTGGCAATAATGTTCCTGTTCTGTTATTACCGGGCAGTATCATCCAAATTCAACATTGTTCACAACATACTAACCCGTACGACACAAAAGTCTAGGTCCCCTGTAGTAGAGAATACCCCTACAGTAATTTCCCCAGCTTAGTTTCTACATATCTGTTTATAACATGGTTAGGGTTGTCTAGGATGTACTGTACTCTGTGAGTTATTTAGGCCTCACGGAGCTCGGCTGGTAGGTGACCGAGAGATGTAATAGGCCCCTGTCTCATCAACAGAACGTATTATATAAATGGGTCAATACATCTGATATTGTATTCAGATTCACCACCCTGTAACTTTCCACTGTCTATGAGTAAGACATGAGATTGACACGTGAGCGGGCAACTTACCCAAGAGGGCGAGACCCATAGCTCAGCATTTCTGTAAGCACGCACTGCGATGCCCCAAAGCTTCAGTAGCTCACCACAACTCATATCGTAAGGACGTGACCTAACGTTTATCATACATAAATGCCGTCCCTTTCTCATTCACTCCTAGACAGTGAGACTTACGGTTGATATACACTCAGGAATTATATATACAACCTTTTATAATAAAACAAAGGAACTACCGTTTGGGTTTCGTTACTTAAAACCCAAATATAAATATGTGTGAACGGACTGGTTAATTGGACAAGCAGCCGATTCATCGGCTACATGACCTATCCCAGCCCCAGGAAAACACACCCGAGTCCTACGTTTCCTATCTCTCGCACAAAAAGCCCTATCTACAAACCTCATCTGGCTGTCCCCAACTACCACGACCTTACCTGTGGGCAGGGTTTGTACAACTGCCCTTTCCTCTCCTTGATCCATACCGTCCTGCCTCTTCTCTTCCTTGCCAGCTTCCTGCAGCACCTGGTAAGGGTTACTACACTCCACACCCTGGTCAGCTTTCCTGAGCCTGACTCTAGTCCCCTTGGAGACAACCACTCTCCACGCCTGCTCCTCCTTCGCAGGTGTCCTGCTAGGCAGGACACCTACCTGAAGGAGTTCCGTCCTGAGGGCTTCATTTTCCCCCTTTAGAGTGTCAACCTCACTCCTCAACTGCCCCAGCTGCCTTAACAGAGTGGCAAGGAGGTCGTCTCTCCCCACACTCTCCTCCTCTTCCCCCAAGACACAACGATCCAAGGCGCCCATTTTCCTTGGTCTCTAACGGGAGCTTTTGCTGGCACGACCTTCTCCAAGCTGGGTCAGATAGCAACTGACACACACACACACACAATCCTCGACACCGGCTCCTACTACCACCTGAGATCCCTAGTCCGAGAATTGCTGTTCGACACCACAACCGCATCCAGCCCATATGTGCACGAACTGATCGCTATAAGAACAGCCCAGTCCCAACCATTGTAAAAATTATCAATAACTTGTAATAAACCAGTGTATTCACTCCCAGTAAACACTACTCCTTGCACTGTCACTATGTTGAAATGAACTGTAGTTTGAACTTTTCCCCATCTAGTTATTATATGTCTTATTTGTGTCACTTATGTTACTTGTATATTATTTGTAATTCGAAACCCATTCCCCAAATATGTAACTGTATATTTTCAGCCTTCTGGCTGCCAAGCTCTTTCAATAAACCGTTAATTATTATTATTATTATTATTACATGAGATGAGGTTAGCCCTCATCCAACGCTGAAATTCACTCTCTCTCTCTCTAAGGTGGTACGATGGCTGCAGCTTTCTTGAGGTGGGGCAAGGTGTTACCCCTCACCAACACCGCTTTTAGAGGTGTGGGTGGCGGTGGCAGAAGTTTGGGTGTGAGCGGTGAGAGGACTACCAGCAGAGGGGCAATAGGAGTGCCTCATCAGAATACCGTTAGGGTAAGTTTCATCAGCAGCTTAAAGATGTTGAGTTTATTTTGGGTATGAATGTTGTCCCTTTTTTATAATTAATTTATTTATTCAACCATGTGAAGATTAGCACTATAGGTTATTCACCAGAAGATGCTTACCTAGCCAAACGTAATCTAACCTAACCTAATTCCATATAACCTAACCTAACTTAATATAACATAACCTAGCTTTAACCTAACACCCTAACCTTAAGAAACCTAATTAAATGTAACCTGAGTTAACATAACCTATACTAACCAAAGGCTAACTTAACGTTAGTTTATTTAACCACCAGGTGAATTAATCTGTGTGGGGGGGGATTAATCTTCTCGGGGTGCCATTTCTATGTCACCGATAAATTGATAGATACTTTCTTCATCTTCTTTTCATCTCATTGGATGAATAATCTGTAAGATCAGAATAGTGGATTATTTCCATCGTGGCGGCGGCTACGTTATCGTGCGCTTAAAGCAGGCAAAATGACCTAACCTAACCTAACCGCACCTAACCTAACCTAACCTAACCTAACCTAACCAGGATCAGGCGTCTTCGTCGTCGTCGGTCGAGTCACTGCCAGGGGAGGCGGACGTGGTTGTGGTGGGGGGAGGAGTGGCTGGGTGTAGCGTCCTCTACCACCTTGCCAAGCTTGGCCTCACCAACACTATCCTTCTCGAGGCTCATCAGCTCACTGCAGGTATGTGTGTATGAGAGAGAGAACAATGATGCGGTAATTGTAATAATTAATGGGTTATTGAAAAGAACATAGCAAGCTGGATATATATATATATATATATATATATATATATATATATATATATATATATATATATATATATATATATATATATATATATATATATATATACTTTTAGTCCATATAACACGGCGCCATCAGCTCGATGAACAGGCTTTGTGTGAAATATAACAGAGTCTAGAACTGCTTTTAGTGTCCTTGTGGCCTAGCCGGTAAGCGTTCCCTAGTCCCACCCAGTAGGTCGAGGGTTCGATTCCTTGCTGGTGAGGTCGTTGATTATATGTTCAAAGTCCGCGTGTTATATGGACTAAAAATGAAGTATATATATGTACCTCGCGTTTCATACCAGCTGGATTCGGTAAAATGCTACTGACACCACATACGAGGCACGGGCAGTTTCCCAATGAGGTTCACGGCGCCATCAGCTCGATGAACAGGCTTTGTGTGAAATATAACAGAGTCTAGAACTGCTTTTAGTGTCCTTGTGGCCTAGCCGGTAAGCGTTCCCTAGTCCCACCCAGTAGGTCGAGGGTTCGATTCATTGCTGGTGAGGTCTTAAAATAGTGATAATATTTTCTCAGTGACTGATATTGTCTTGCTGTGTGTAGTTAATATTTCTTATATAATTTTGATAGTATTGTTTTTAATGTTTGTGTCACTAATTGATGCCAGAGAATGAGGGAACTGTTTTTCAGATGAGGTTCCTCCTTTCTGTTGTAAGTGATACTGTGATTTAGTTCCTTTAATGCAGGTAATATTTCTTTATAATTTCTATTTTTTATACCATTTCCTCAGTGAGTGATATTATTTTGTTGAAAACCCTTAAGGCCTGCATCTGTTGGTAACATAATTTTATTGAGTGCCCTTAAGGCCTATTCATGGTGGAGTTAATAATTTCTTATTTTTATACCATTTTCTCAGTGATTGATATTATTTTGTTGAAAGCCCTTAAGGCCTGTTTCATGTGCACAAGCAACAATTCGTAATACTTTGAATTTATTTTTGTCTAATGAGGCATTGTCTGAGTTTCTAATAATTTCAATATCATGTATAACTTTTATTCCCCAGAGTAGTGTTTTAAGTTCAGGTTAAGAGGTGCTCATAGGTTGGTGTACCATTATTTGATTGTGTCTGTAGTGTTGGAGGGAATATAAGTGTCTAAATTTTACAGTGTGTCTCATTCATCCCAGTCACGGATGCTATCTTTCCACGTGTCACGGAGAATTCATTTTGTGTAGTAAAATTAAGTGTTCTTGGGCTGGTTCGGATTTTTCTCCAAGGGGCGCTTCCACTGCAATTTCAATCTAATAATTAATAAACCCCAAGTCAAGTGAGAAATTAAAGTCCAGTAATTCCGACCGGTTACATATATATATATATATATATATATATATATATATATATATATATATATATATATATATATATATATATATATATATATCTTGATAAAATCACACGGGAAAAGGGAAACAACGGAGCACCTTAGCATAACCATGGTCTTGGTATGGTGCTGTAGTCGGGAGCAGAGTTGTTGACGCAGATCCGAATGGTAGAATCGTCGTGTGTGTGTGTTTCCCGTCTTAGTACACGAACCTTTTTGAATATCCTCGAGTCTGACTCCCAACATTAGTAACACATCTCCTCCCATCACTCAGGGACCACTTGGCACACAGCTGGACTCTTTTACCGTCTATCGAGTAATGAGGTGGACTGCATGCTGCATGGCTCAACTATGAGGATCTGTCTGTCCCTGGAGGAGGAAACCGGCGTCAACCCCGGCTGGATCAACAACGGCTCCCTCTTCCTCACCTCCAGGAAGGTAGGGAGAGATACATGTATAGGGCGATTTACTGTGGTCATGGCTGTACTTGGATTGCTTGTCAGGGAGCTAAGAGATAAGATACTTTTGGATAGAGACGGATGGACAGACATTTTGATAGAGAATGATGGATATGTTGGAAGGCCTGTGATGTAGATTCTCACAGTCCAATGGAAGGAGTGTTGGTTCCACCGTGACATCGTGGGAGATTTCCTTCGGTATATTTGCTGTGAGATCCCTTACTTCGTCATGCCTCATGCATACGACCCCCCCTTCTTGCACACCACGGCGTGGTCGATGTCATAGAATGAGCCACACACGCATTGGGTGGGCAAACCTTCTACTGGCCAACAATACCTTAGAGCAGGGATCACCAAACTACGACCCGCGGGCCGGATCCCAAGTCCTTCCCCGGCTCGTGATAGCTCAAAACTACGCTCTGACGTTACCAGAGCTTTCGTTCTGGCTTGCAAGTATTGAACAGAATGATTATGCGGCCCGCGCTCGTCATTCTTTCAGTTATCCGGCCCACTGTGAAAAAAGTTTGGTGACCCCAGCCTTAGAGCAATGGCAATCGTATTCTTGTTTATTAAGGCTGAAGACTTTTACCTTATCGGTAACGTTGTTAGCCAGTTCGAGGCTGCCACACAACCTCTGCCATTTCACTGCTCCATTGCATATTTTGTGGGTTTCAGATAGGCTTTGTTTAGTTTTCATCTGAAGTGGTAAAACAGGAACCTCTATAATGATAATGGAATGGAATTGCTTGGCCATGGAGACGTCGGAGGCTGCCCCCTCACCCCCCCCCCCCATCTCTCCGCCAGTGAACACATGATCACCTTTTACATTAACGAAATTATTACCTTGGGCATGGGTACCGCAATACTGTTACTGACACGAAGAATCAGTAAATCTGGTTAGTGTTTATTGTTTTATTTCCTTCAAAATGTGAACTGTGTATGTATTGCACCTACGAGTATATTTGGACCTATTATTAATGTCAAAGTAAACGCATATTTATGCTGCGTCATTCCTCATTAGCCCAAACTGATAATGTGTGTGTCTACTGATAGGCAGTTAAGAGAGAGAGAGAGAGAGCAACCAAGAAAACATAGATTTCCTATTTTTTTAAGGATGTAAGATATCGACATCTTAATGAATATAAAAATAGCTGTTAAACTCTAACTCTGCTGGAGTTAACACCTTTACTTGCCAAGCTCCTTTCACTCCCAGATACTTCCCTCCCCCCCCCTCCACATGGCCCTACGCCATCTATGAGTAAACTTATCGACTGTTTCTGACTGACAACGGAGGGAGAGAATGATCCGACTATATATCCGGCATGTACACACGAACACACACACATACAAGCGCGCTGTTGCCATTTCAGCCATATCTCGCGTACAGGTGGACCAGGCGGAATTGTTGCAAAGTGTACATTGTCATGGCGACAGGGTCCCCATGCTTTGCTCCCTCTGTTGACTGTATGGTGGTATCACTTCTTTGGGCCTTGAAGCTTGATATATAGAGGTCTGAAGGTCTCCTCTAGGTGTTTTCAACATACAGTGTTAAGCTTGGACACTTGATCTTGATGCTGTGCAGTGTAGTGTGGCTTTGCTGTTGATTATGTTGAATGCGTTGGAAGCGTCAACTTGGAGAATGGCATCACAGTCGCGCTGCTCAAATATCTTTCTCATGGCGTGAATGACAGCCTCACGAACAGCCTGGTAGCCAGCAAATACTTGCAGGTTTCCTGCAGCTGCCCTGACATCATCATTAACCACCTCCATTATGACTTTTTCCAATGATCCGTCTCAGCACTTCCCCCACTCCTATGGGCTTACATCCTGTATTTTTATCTAAGGGGATGAAGCAGCAGGCCATCAGAGATGTAGGTGATGACAGCAAGAGGTTGCGAGCTTTCTTGTAAGGGCGGCGTGGCATTGCAGAGATCACTTGCTGCGTCGCCAAACTTGTTAGTGCTAAGAATGACTCTCCAACCGTCTTCATCCAGGCCGGCCAGCCCCTCCCTCTGTCTTCAGTGCTTTTTTCCACACCATCTCTCCTGTTATTTTCTCGAGCATGACCGTAATTGAAGGGTTGTAGGCACCGTGGAACCTGATGCATTCCTGTGCACTTGCAGGGGGATGTTTTTCCTTCAGTTGCTGTAAGGTCTCTCTGTTTTTTGGTAGCACACCACCAGAAGATTCCTTTGAGAGAGATCTTACCGCCGTATACACTTTCCCGCACGCATCTTGTTACCAAACTTTCTGGCAACATCCTCAGTGACTTACTTTCTGTCTCCTGTGAATTTTTCTTTTGCAGTGGTCTTGCCTCCTGTAGGGGATCATCTAGAGCTCCGTTCTGCCACATTGTCTGTCTTCTCTTCATTACTACCACATCTTCCTTGTGCTTACTCCTTGCGTGAGTTCTCTGGCAGAATAAATAGGGTATTATTGCCAGTATATGAAGAGCTAATGGGGCCAAGGAGCTGTTATGAGTGCAATTGTATATGAGGCGAGTCATCTCCCTGATCGTTTCTTTGGTGGCCTCACACATAGGTGGTTCAAAGAGGTTAGCTGGCGACTACTACTACTACTTTTTTTTTTTTTTTTTTTAAACGTGCCTCCAGCCTCCCCAATAGCCACACCTTCGCCACCATTTATTTACCTTAATATTAAATATCCTAATACATAAGAAGCTATCCTATCTGTGTTAAACTAGTTGAGCCGCAGATCTATGCGGCATTCAGTGACTGTAGCCTCGTAGTCAATATCTGCAGCAGTTGTCGGAATTGGGGCAGAAGCTCTCGTTTCCCTGAGGCAGAGCAAAGCCGACCGAAGGAGAGAGAAAGACAGTCGACATCTCATCCAGGCTGTAACAAAACTTCTGGGCTGCTGCTTCTGTTCGGAGATCACCTCCGCGAGTCTGGCGTAGAAACATCTTGCACTTGGTCCCATCCCACCAAAGGTTGTGAACACTAGGGGAGTGAAGCTGCCTTGGTCAACGTTTTGGATTCTCTCCCCATATGCCCTTATCTTGTCGTTCTCGTTCCTCCTATGTGCAGCATCGAGAGCTAGGTTACGGTGACATGCGGCCATGGGATCAAAAATCCTGATGTCGAAGAAAGCTCGCTGTCCTCGCGTCCAGAATCCTCGAGCACTGACGTCAACACGGGCTTCGTTAGATGTGTTTGAAGTCCTATGTTGGAGGATCTCACCATCCAATGGAAGGAGGGTCGGTTCTACCATGACATCCCGGCAGATTTCCTTCAACATATTTGCTGTAAGGTCCCTTACTTCATCATGCCTCATGCATATGAAGCCCCCTTTCTTGCACACCATGGCGTGATCGCCGTCATAGGAAGAGACACACACGCATTGGGAGGGCAAACCTTCTACTGGCCGACCGTACCTTAGAGCAATGGCATCTGTAAATTCTTGTTTGTTAAGACTGAAACCATTTGCCCTTATCGGTAACGTAGTTAACCAGTTCGAGGCGCCCACCTCCTGCGCTATAGCTACTTTTTTTTTCAAATTTTCTGGAACCTGCAGCAACAGTTGCTGCAACTTATCATTTTGGCATTGCTGTCGATCTGTCGTAATGGACCTACGAATCTCGTTTACTTCACCGGTCACGACCTCCCCTGTTGCGTTCTGGGCTATTTCGTGGTCCGTGAGGGCTGCCGTGAGCTTAAGTGAATTTTGATGTTCGGTGGCTGCAATCTCCTCTGGATTGGTTAGTCCCAGCCCTCCCAGTCTTGATGGAAGTGCAAGAAGTTCTCTTTCTGCTGGGGTTAAGTGAGTGTGTTTCACTAATTTGGGAATGAACTTGACACTGATAGCTTCTTCCAGAGGGTGGGGGAGGGGTCCGATACCAGGGATAGTACGCATCAGGTAGTTCCAACGATGCTTGACTCCATGGGTGAATGCAGCGAAAGCCACATGTGGCTCTGTGTTAGCAATCACAGACAGAGCTTGGATTTCCCTAACCCACTCATTCACCTTTCCCGCTACGTACTCGGTCTTGAAGTCCGTAGTGCCAATTACTGTGCCTAGATGTCTTTGGCCGTCCTTAGTTATTTTGACTTCGCTTCCGCCAAAAACCTCCTTTGCCCGTTCATAATGTTCTGGCTTCACGATGAGGAAGGACTTGCTGGCGTTTGGGTGGTACCCTATTTGTGGACCTCGCGATGTTACCAAGTCCCACCACTTTTTGATGTCCTCCACTTTTCCTGCTCCTGTAAGGTCGTCAGCATACGCCACTTGTTTGACCCTAGTTGTTTCAAATTTTATTTCTTGTTGGAGCACTGATAGGCCTATTGCATACATTGCCATTGCAACAGGGTCCCCCTGTGTTGTTCCCTCGGTTGACTGTAAGATGGTATCACCTCTTAGGGCCTTGTTGTTTACTATATAGAGGTCTGATGGATTCCTATATGAGTTTTCAACGTACATTGCAAAGCTTGGACACTTGATCTTGATGTTGTGCAGTGCGGCCTTGCGGTTAAGTATGTTGAATGCGTTTGAAGCGTCGACCAGGAGAACGGTCTCACAATCACGTTGCTCAAATATCGTTCTCATGGCGTGAATGGCAGCTTCCCCTCCAGCTTGTTGTGCCAGCACAAACTTGCAGGTTCCCTGCTGCTGCCCTGACATCGTCCTTTACCACCTCCATTATGCATTTACCGATGATCCGCCTCAGCACTTCCCCCACTCCTATTGGCCTACATCCTGGATTCTTATCCAGGGGAATGAGGCGGCAGGCCGTCAGAGCATGAAGGTGATGGCAGCATGAGGATGCCAGCTTTCTTGCAAGGACGGCAATGGCCGTGCAGAGATCACTTGCTGCGGGGCCAAACTTGTTAGTGCTGAGGATGACTCTCCATCCGTTTGCATCCAGACCTGAAGGGCCGGCACCTCCCCGAGTCTTCAGTGCCTTTTTCCACACCATCCCTCCTGTTATTTTCTCGAATAGGACAGCATTTGGTGAGATATAGGCACCCTGAAACCTGATGCCTTCGTCATCACTTGCAGAGGGATGTTTTTCTTTCAGTTGTTTTAAAGTCTCTCTGTTTATTGGCAGGACCCCACCGGTGGATTCCTCTGTGAGAGATCTTACCGCCAAAGACACTTTTCCCACACGCATTTTGTTTCCAAACTTCCTTGCCGCATCATCAGTGTTTTGCTTTCCGTCTCCTGAAGATTTTAGTCTCTCCTGCAGTGTTCTTGCTTCACATAGGAGATCATCAAGGGCCCCCTTCTGCCACAATGTCAGTCTTCTCTTCATTGCTGCCGCATTTTCTTTGTGCTTAGTCTTTGTTGTGTGTCCTCTGACAGAATAGATGTGGTATTATTGCCAGTATATGAAGAGCTAACGGGGCAAGGAGGCGGTCTTGAGTGTACTCAGTTATGAGACTAATCATCTCCCGTATCATTTCTTTGGTGGCCGCACACTTAGGTGGTTCAAACAGGTTTGCTGGCGACCACCTGACAATTTCTGAGTATGTTTTTCTACGAATACTTTTTTTTTTAAACAAAATAATAACGTGGCCTCCATCCTCCCCTAATTGCCACACCTTCGCCGCCATTTTATTACCTTAAAATTAAATATCCTAATACATAAGTAGCTATCCTAGCTGTATTGAGTTAGTTGAGCCACAGATCTATGCGGCATTCAGTGACAGTAGCCTCATACTCAATATCTGCAGCAGTTGTTGGAGTTGGGGCAGAAGCTCTCGTTCCCCTGAGGCAGAGCAAAGTCGACCGAAGGAGAGAGAAAGACAGTCGACATCTCATCCAGGCTGTAACATAACTTCTTGGCTGCTGCTTCTGTTCGGAGATCACCTCCGAGAGTCTGGAGTAGAAACATCTTGCACTTGGTCCCATCCCACCAGAGGTTGTGAACACTAGAGGAGTGAAGCTGCCTTGATCAACGTTTTGAATTCTCTCCCCATATGGTGACATGCGGCCATGGGATAAAAAATCCTGATGTCGAAGAAAGCTCGCTGTCCCCGCTTCCAGAATCCTCGAGCACTGACGTCCACACGGGCTTCGTTAGATGTGTTTGAAGTCCTGTGTTGGAAGATCTCACCATCCAATGGAAGGAGGGTCGGTTCTACCATGACATCCCGGCTGGTTTCCTTCAACATATTTGCTGTGAGGTCCCTTACCTCGTCATGCCTCATGCATATGAAGCCCCCTTTCTTGCACACCATGGTGTGATCAACGTCATAGGAAGAGCCACACACGCATTGGGAGGGCAAACCTTCTACTGGCCAACCGTACCTTAGAGCAATGGCATCTGTAAATTCTTGTTTATTAAGACTGAAACCATTTGCCCTTATCGGTAACGTAGTTAACCAGTTCGAGGCGCCCACCTCCTGAGCTATAGCTACTTTTTTTCTTAAAATTCTCTGGTACTTGCAGCAACAGTTGCTGCAGTTTATCACTTTGGCTGTGCTGTCGTTCTGTCGTCATGGACCTTCGAATCTTGTTTACTTCTCTGGTATCCACCTCCCCTGTTGTGTTCTGAGCTATTATGTGGTTCGTGAGGGCTGCCGTGAGCTTAACTGAATTTTGATGTTCGGTGGCAGCAATCGCCTCTGGATTGGTCAATCCCATTCCTCCCAGTCTCGGTGGTAGCGCAAGGAGTGATTTTTCTGCTGGGGTTAAGTGAGGGTGTTTTACTAATTTGGTAATGAAATTGACGTTGATAGGTTCTTCCATAGGGTGGAGGAGGGGTCTGATATCAGGGATAGTGCGCATCAGGTAGTTCCAGTGATGCTTGACTCCATGGGTGAATGCTGCAAATGCCGCATGTGGCTTTGTGTTAGCAATCTCAGACAGAGCTTGGATTTCCCTAACCCACTCATTCACCTTTCCCATTACGTACTCGGTCTTGAAGTCCGTCGTGCCGATTACCAAACCTAGGTGTCTTTGGCCATCCTTTGTTATTTTGACCTCACTTCCACCGAACACCTCCATTGCCCGTTCATAATGTTCTGGCTTCACAATGAGGAAGGACTTGCCATCGATTGGGTGGTACCCTATTTGTGGACCTCGTGATGTTACCAGGTCCCACCACTTTTTGATGTCCTCCACTTTTCCTGCTCTTGTAAGGTTGTCAGTGTACGCCACTTGCTTGACCTCAGTTGTTTAAAATTTTATTGTATGTTGAAACACGGATAGGCCTATTGCACACATTGCAATTGCAACAGCGTTCCCCTGCGTTGTTCCCTCGGTTGACTGTATGATGGTATCACCTCTTAGAGCCTTGTTGTTTACTGTATAGAGGTCTGATGGATTCCTATAGGAAAATCATCTTGTAATTTTACAATTAGTTTGTCATGAATATAGATTACGCAGATGTACAAATTAGCATGTATAATGGCATTGCAGGTGCACAGTGTACATAGACCCCAAAGGTATACAGTTTCCAATGTAAAATCGCCCCCAAAAGTATCTCTACGATTTTGTATTAGTCAATATAATACAACAAGAGTCGCGATGTTCATCTTGAAATTCATCGAATACCACCATAAATATACTTTTTAGAGTGAGTGGGGGTACTTTAACAGTGCAGGTAAATAATCAGTAAAACAATTAGACCATGGATACGTACGATAAATCCATTCGCTGCTTATTTCCAGTAGGGTCTTTTAAACATAATTTGGATTTAATGGTAAAGATTGATGTTTGAAATTGTATGTATAATCACAAAAAGCTAAGTAAAAAGATAAATGGGAAAATTAATAGATTATAATTATGTTAAAAATCCCACAAAAGGGAATCTGTACAAAATTACATTGGTGAGGTTTTATCCTGTTCCATATAGACTGACTAAAATGATGTCGTTCAGCTTGTACGGGCTAAAGGTGATCCTTGTGCGATGAGACTTCCTACTGTGCCACTGACGCTTAAGATGCCAGGGTGTCTCAAAAAGTGTATACATACTGCGTTAAAATTTTCATGGAGAACGCATGTACGCTTATAAAGGGTGTCCACATGGAACTTTCACAAATTTGAATAAACATAACTTTCAAGTGGGATCATATAATTTAATGCAGAGAGACTCATATGTATAGTAGTATGTTGAAACGATTGGCGTGTAATTAAGTGCATGCAAGATACTCAACTAAAGTGGTTTGCTAGACGTATAGAATGCAGTGGTGAGGAAGACCCCGATCTAAAGTGCTATGTAAGACTATAATGAAGTGTTTTCAGGAAGATCAACCCCGGGAGCGTCAGCAGAGCCTCGAGCAGATGATGAGCTTGAGTAAGGTGTTCGGGGTGGAGAGTCATTTGCTAAACCCCGCCCAGATCAAGGATTTGCACCCGCTGTTGAACGTCAACGACCTGCAAAGTGCCGTGTACACTCCCACTGATGGTTTGTGTGCTCCTTCCCTCCCTCCCCTCCTTCATTCCTCCCTTCTTCCTTGTCTTTCTTGCTTCTTTCCTTTCCCTCCCTGCTTCCTTTCCTTTCAATCCCTGCCTCCTGGTTTCCCTTCCTTTCTGCCTCCCTACCCTCCTCCATTTCCATTGTTATTCCTTTGTTATATTATTATTGGTATTAGCAGATGTACACCTGCGCATATACACTACACATTGTCTCCTGTAGTAGATGGCTGTTCCTGCAGGTTCAATGGATCCAGCTGGCATTTGCCTGGCGTTGACGCGGGCGGCGAGATGGGCAGGGGCTCGGGTGGTCGAAGGATGCCGGGTCACCGACATCACTACAGCAGAGACGACGCTGGGGGGCAGAAAGGTGACTGAGGTACACACAACCAGAGGCGTCATCAAGACAAATGTTGTCGTCAACGCTACAGGTATTACAGGGCTACTAGATATCAGGTCCTCTCACGAAGTGCACACACACACACCTGTAAGGCCTATGAGTAGTGGGACTTGCCAGTAGACTGTCCCACTTAAAAGTAACTTTGCTTGTAGTTATTTAGAGTCCCATTGTGATCAAAAAAATATCAGAGACTGTCGATAATTGATGTCTACCTTGGTTTCACGTCTTCCATAAAGGTGAATGAGATATACACGACATTTGTGTGTATGTACGAGGTGTATTTACAGACCCAAACTACAGCTGTACAGAGAAATAGGCTGGCTCCGTGATCTAGTACTGAGGTTGTTATAGTGTTAGTTGCTCTAGAGCTCAGGTGGTCTCAGTGTTAGGTATTCTAGTACTGAGGTGTTCTCAGTGATAGATGTGTACTGTCTGGGGTCCAGCAAAAGACAAACTCAAGGGCCTGGCATGTAACCACGCCCGGCGAGTGTAATTCACACACACACCCCGAGAGTCATCCGTGAGTCAAGCTTCTAGAAGGTTCTCGAAGGAATAAGTAGTCACCTTCTTGGAATGTACTGCCGACAACCAGTCAGCAGTGTTGACGTCACGTTTTATAAATAACCGGTTGGAAAAGATCTCGTTGACCCATGAATCATTCTTAACTGATGGTGCTGCTATCTATATACATTAATTATCTAACTATCTAAAATACTTGACTCATTGCATGTGTGAAGAAAAGTATCCAATTACCAAATATGAGTAATCAAGTCAGCTATGATACAATGATATGAGCTATTAAGGATGTCACCTAGGTTGGTGAGTTCTGAGGTGGCTAAAGAGGCCGATATGGGACCGATAGGGTCGATCACTGATGTTGCACATGTGGGGGACAACAGCTGGTGTGGGAGGGGCGGCGGCAGCGTCTTTCCGGCATTGGCATTTGTCTACCTTGTAATAGCCGGTTAACTGTTGATTCTGTCGAAGTTAATTAGGTTGGTACATTTATATGATGATGGGTTTTAGTTGCGAAACCCAATTGTCTGTTTATCCATTTATTTAGGAACTGCTAGTGATACAATTCCTGAGTGTAAATCAACCGTAACTTTCACTATAACTATGAGGGTTAAGAGAAGGACGGAGGCTATGTAAATAGACCTGTTAATCACGTCCGACTTGTGTGAGGGGTTGAGTAGCAATCTAATGAGTAGTGACCCATCGAGGGAGAACGGAATATGTATGTTGCTCTCCCTCTAGGGAAGACGGAACCATCCACGATGGCTCTCAAATAACGTCTTCCTCTAGTCAAGGATATGAAACTACTGCCCACTTTAGGTGGCCAGGGAGCCGGCTACTTAATGCCTTAACTCAGCATAATATGATGCAGCTTCCCATGGGCACACCCTATTACGCGCTCTGAACATGTCACCTCATAGCTAGTGGAAAGTTACAGGGGATGATATGGTATATAAATCAAATGTAATTAACCCATTTATATAATCCTTCTGTGTATGAAACAGGGGCCATTACAACATCGTTATGCAGTCGGGCTAACTCGAAAGTAGTGACACCTTCTCGTGTGGTGATCCTCCAAGTGTCACAGTGTGGAGTAATTGTCTCCCAGGTAAGGGGGTCGAATTGGCACCTTTTCAGTTGCACGCCAGCATTATGTTTATTATTCGTTAGGTGACTGTAAAGTAATTGCTTTGAAAGTCTACTGTCGTCCATGTGAGTAACATGGCAAGTCCAGCGTAGTTGTTCATGGATAATGGTAGTCACGAAGCTTCTACAGTTGGTGTCAGCGAGAATACTGTCATTTGATCTCTTGTCTTCCCAGTGAACATGGAGGATGGAACGTAAACTAAGTTGGTGAAAGTTTTCAAGTGCCTTGAGGTGTCTCCTGTATGTGACCCATGTCTCTCTGCCATATAGCATGTGGGGAGGACCACTGCTCGATGTACGTGTAACTTTGTAGATAATTTCAGCTCCCTACAGCTGAAGACACTGTTTCGTAGTCTGCGAAAGCCTTGAGATGCACATCTGATCCGATGCTGTCTCTTCATTGATGTTTGCAGTGGTCGACAGGTGGGAGCCGAGATACCGAAAGTGGGTAACATTAGAGAGGGTAGTACCGTTAAGCTGGATGGATGGTGGACGTGTTTCTGAACAAGGGGCAGGCTGAAAGAAAATCCGAGTCTTACGTACATTCGCCCCAAGGCTGAAGTGTACATACGCATCTGCGTAGGTGTTCAGGATCTTCTGTAGGTCGCGTTCAGTGTGAGCGACAAGGGTGAGGTCCTCTGCATACTGAAGCTCAGTAATGGAAGCTACACATTTGTTCCTGCCTGGAGTCGTCTTATGTTGAAAAGACCCTTCATCCGGTACTCGATATCCACCCGCTGGCCAAATTGGCGCTGGCACGATAAAGAAAAGCAACCAAGAAAATGGAAAAGAGAGTTGGATGGGGAAGAATTCAAACTGGGTGCCATTGTGCAGGATACTGACTCTCATGCTATCGTGGCGTTGCCTCACAAGGACGAGGAATTTTGGTGGGCAGCCAAAACGCCTGCACGTTTCCTGCATCTGATGGGCAGCATAGATCATGTCAGTGGTGCCAAGTGATGGTCTAAGGCTACAT